CAGGAGTACAATAATATAGACTTTTTACGGCACTGATGTTCTGAAAAGAACAAATCAGCTAAAAATGCAGCAATACAAACTGGACAAGTTAACTATATAGGGATTCAAGGTTATCCAAAGTTAGATTGCAAGCCATGTATTCAGATCATATGGAAGACATTACACATCAAATCACAAACCTGTGCCAAATTTGTGGTACGGATGATCTTTAGCACTCAGGAGTACAATAATATAGACTTTTTACGGCACTGATGTTCTGAAAAGAACAAATCAGCTAAAAATGCAGCAATACAAACTGGACAAGTTAACTATATAGGGATTCAAGGTTATCCAAAGTTAGATTGCAAGCCATGTATTCAGATCATATGGAAGACATTACACATCAAATCACAAACCTGTGCCAAATTTGTGGTACGGATGATCTTTAGCACTCAGATGTTTCTGAAGCTGCACAGAAAGTAATGCAAGAATGAAGAAGGGTTTTCTTTCCTCCAAAAGAAAAAGAACAAAAATTTGAAAGAGCTAAACAACACAGCTCAAACAGGTACTTAAACGAATGTACAGGCTCAAGATCCACAAGATAAGAGAGAGAAACAAGCATAACATGGAACAATCTTATTCTAAGATTTTTTTGGATAAAGAGAGAGAAACAAGCATAACATGGACCAGGTAATCCTATACATTGGTTGTACACCTAACAGTAAATCAATATAAGGTCGCTCACTAATAACTTAAGTTTTTAGATGATGACTGCACAATTCAATATGGTATCAGAGTAGGTACGACGTCCTGCACTCAAGTCTCACCGCCATCAATTAGCAGAATATTTCTTCGCCCTAAAAATAGAATCATGCCCACGTAAAGGGGCGCAGAAGACCTAAGTAAATAACTAAAATTCTCTAGTAGTTTAATCTTTTAACTGATGTGATCACACAATTGAACTTCATCTATCTCCTTCATCGAATCATCACAAGTACCAAAGGAAGCATAAAGCTGACTTACGAGTCCATATAAGTACCTGGTACACTCTGTGACCATCAGATAATAGGTTGTTTTGGTTCTCTGAAGATGACTCCGCAAGTTGCCACGGGCACAAGACAAAGACAGTAGAGCAATCAGCAGTTGATAATGTTTATAGGACTGAACACATCAATATTCACAAATCATGAAGCCTCACCAGAATCAACAGCTTTTATTTCCCTTGTTGTAGCATCAGGTGACATCAACGGTTTGATAAAAAACTGTGCAAATCTAAATAATGAAACACCATAAGGCATTTCATAGATACTTTTTCAAAGATAATAAGGAGTTAAATCCATACCTGTCCAAAGCTTCTTCAAAACAATCTGCATTAATGTCGAAGTGAAAGTTGGTGTTCTCGGAAGATGTAAAAGCATTGGTAGAACCTCCATGCTGAATCAATAATAAAAAAGGAGGAAATTAAACTCTATATGACAGTTACCTGAAGGGAATTTATGCAAAACTGCATTCATTAGTGCTATTAGTAATTTGCCATAAGTATACCAGTTACTGATACTAAGAAGTGACATTTTAAGAAAAAGATAACCATTCTCATGCTCCGTACCGCTCGGCTTGAGCAGTTAACTTAAAAAGTCTGAGTTGCTAACTACTAGGACGACAAGTCCCTGAGGCCTCAAATAGTTTAACCGAGTTGACAGCCATGAAAGATGATATGGCTTACCCACTTTGACAGACAGGACAGATGATAAATGACCACAATTCTTTTTTGGTTTTCTTTAATTGTTAAGGGTGTTTGTAAGGTGGGCTATTGGAGACAAATAGTGAAAAGTTTGGTTGAAAATCCAAGGGAAGACTCCAGGGTTTGGATAGGCTCTCAAAGAGATGCTTGGTTTTCGTGACATCTACTTAGTTGATACACTCAGCAATTTCTACATTTCAAGACCGTCTTTGTTCTATTCTAACTAACTAGTTCAAATTAAGCTAGGACATTTTTCATATCTCATCCCCTCTTAAACTAGGACATCTTTTATATCTAATCTCCTCTTAAACTGGGACATTTTGATATCTAATCTCCTCTAATTTGACACTTTGTCCAAGTTAAGCTAGGACATTTTTGATGTCTAATCTCCTCTTAAACTCCTAGCCATAACACACTTGTCTGCATTCTTCCAATCTCTTCTCTTATCAGGACTTAGCTGCTATATGAAAAATAAGAGAAGAGACTGCAGCAACACATTAGCCCACTGACTTATGCCATAAACTCCTACAAATAGTTAATAGAAAACACATAATACTTTCGTCTGATGCAAGACAATATTTCATGCTAACATTCTAACCTTCCCCTCAAATTTCGGGGTGGAGCAAATTAATGACTGAAGCATATGCAAATAGTTAAACCACCACCATGTATCACCATCAAGGCTCAATAAAAGAGCCCATGAAAACGAACAAAATTGTATCCAACATAAAAAAATCATGACGCAGACAACTATCACTTCTCGATAGTCTTGAAGAGAAGATAGATTGCAAGAATAAGCAGTAGGAAGAAGGAACAAATTGTTTAACCAGAGTAGAAATTCAGGAAAAAGTAAATCATAATTGTGAATAAATAAAAAAAGATACCTGGGTGATGTATTTTGAGTAACTATTCTCCACGGGATACTTCTCACTTGCATAAAACAGCATATGTTCTGCAGTGTAGCACATTAAGAATCAGCATGCACTTTCGCCTCAAGGAAAAATGTGATACTAAAATAGCAAACAATATAATGGAATACCGTGCAAAGGGTGCAATTAACAAAACACCAGCTTTGCACGTTATTAGAAGTTAAAATTCCCACCGCTTCAGGAAACAACTTTCAGGTTCGCGGAATACTGCTGCATAGCACCCAAGCTATAACAATAACTACGCCTCCGTCCCAAACAAGTTGGGGTCGGCTATATGAATCCTCACTGACCATGTTACTCCATAAAAGCTCATCTCAGGCCAATATTAAACCCAAAAAAAAAAAAAAAA